ACTCTCATTCTTCAGAAACTACCCGGAAGTCCACGGGAAGTCGGCGGATGGATGCAGTCGGTAAGCAACAAAGGCGCAGTTAGCAAAAAAGGAGCATGCAGACTTCCGCTCCTTTTTCATCGTGATACTCGACTCGTTTAGAGAGCTTGGTGCAGACAGAAATCAAGATAAGTGTTTCTCATATTTTTCTTTCCGGTGAGAAATGGGGATGGGAAGAAGCAAATTGAGAGAGAAGAAGCTGTTGGAGAAGCTCTTGTGCAAGGTCTCGCCAAATGCCCCTGTACCGTTTCAAGGCGTATTCTCAGAATAGGGCATGCATGCTAACTGATGATGAGGATCTCGAAGCTGGAATTATTTAGTGGGCAAATCCAAAAGTGTGACACATCTTGAAACATGCCCCCGGCTGTCCCAACGCACCATCTTGAAATATGTTATGTTCAATGCCGTGAAAATGCAACAAATTCAATTGCGTAGGATTGGTGAAAGCCATGGAAGGAAATAAGGAGGTCAGGGCTCGACTCCTCTTGTCCCAACATTAGTATTTTTTCTCATGAAAACATGGCTATGAAATTCTTGCAGCTCGGTGGGGCATACTAAGGCGCTTCAAAAGCACATGTGCCGCACAACCCAAGGAAAACTTTTCCAAAATTTACTTGCTCATAAAATTCCTCATCTACAAAGGGCTATATGAAAGGGAAGAAAAAGTAAAGCTACTACCGAGAGTCACTCGAGTTAGTAAAAAAAAAAAAAAAAAAAAAAAACTAAGAAGTCCAAGAGGTTTACTCAGAGAAGAAGAATCATAGCAAGGAGTCGCCTCGAGCAGGGACTCGGCGAGAGAAAAAGAAAGGAAACAAGGGCACTGACCCTTAGACGTTTCCGAGAAAAAGCCCACAGGAGTCGCCTCGACTGAGGGACTCGGCGAGTATTGAGAGAAACGACGGGGCACTGACCCTAAACTGTTTCTGAGATAGAAAAAGCCTAATGGGTCGCCTCGACCGAGGGACTCGGCAAGAAAAGATAGGAAACAAGGGCCCAGACCCTTAGACGTTTCCGAGAAAAAGCCTACAGGAGTCTCCTCGACTGAGGGACTCGGCAAGTATTGAGAGAAACGACGGGGCACTGACCCTAAACTGTTTCTGAGATAGAAAAAGCCTAATGGGTCGCCTCGACCGAGGGACTCGGCAAGGAAAGATAGGAAACAAGGGCCCAGACCCTTAGTCGTTTCCGAGAAAAAGCCAAAAGGAGTCACCTCGACTGAGGGACTCGGCGAGTATATAAAGAAACAAAGGGGCACTGACCCTAAACTGTTTCTGAGATAGAAAAAGCCTAATGGGTCACCTCGACCGAGGGACTCGGCAAGAAAAGATAGGAAACAAGGGCACTGACCCTTAGACGTTTCCGAGAAAAAGCCTACAGGGGTCGCCTCGACTGAGGGACTCGGCGAGTATTGAGAGAAACGACGGGGCACTGACCCTAAACTGTTTCTAAGATAGAAAAAGCCTAATGGGTCGCCTCGACCGAGGGACTCGGCAAGGAAAGATAGGAAACAAGGGCCCAGACCCTTAGTCGTTTCCGAGAAAAAGCCAAAAGGAGTCACCTCGACTGAGGGACTCGGCGAGTATATAAAGAAACAAAGGGGCACTGACCCTAAACTGTTTCTGAGATAGAAAAAGCCTAATGGGTCGCCTCGACCGAGGGACTCGGCAAGAAAAGATAGGAAACAAGGGCACTGACCCTTAGACGTTTCCGAGAAAAAGCCTACAGGGGTCGCCTCGACTGAGGGACTCGGCGAGTATTGAGAGAAACGACGGGGCACTGACTCTAAACTGTTTCTGAGATAGAAAAAGCCTAATGGGTCGCCTCGACCGAGGGACTCGGCAAGAAAAGATAGGAAACAAGGGCACTAACCCTTAGACGTTTCCGAGAAAAAGCCTACAGGGGTCGCCTCGACTGAGGGACTCGGCGAGTATTGAGAGAAACGACGGGGCACTGACCCTAAACTGTTTCTGAGATAGAAAAATCCTAAAGAGTCGCCTCGACTGAGGGACTCGGCGAGAAAAGATAGGAAACAAGGGCACCGACCCTTAGACGTTTCCGAGAAAAGCCTACAGGAGTCGCCTCGACTGAGGGACTCGGCGAGAAAAGGAGAAAAGAAACAAGGGTTCCGACCCTAGTCATTTTATTAAAAGGAAAAGAAGATATCACCGAAGAGTCGCCTCAACTGAGGGACTCGGCGAATAAAGAAGGAATCGAGGGTCCAAACCCTTAGAAGTTTATTAGAGAAAGAAAAAGTTACAGCCAAGATTCACTTCGACGGCTAAAGAAAAAAGGGGCTCAAAGTCAGAGGGTCACATCTACTGAAGCAGTCGGTCATATGGCAAACAGAGAGAAGTCATGAGGATGGAGTCGTTTGGAATCTTGAATAAGGAGTCGGCAAAAATCGAGGCGGCTAATAAAAGGGAAATTTTGAGGCAAGACAATATACTTTTCCATGCCCTGCTGAGTACGAGACATAGAAAAGTGAGGGACTAGTTGATGGGGTGTGAACCCCATGGGCTCGGGGCCCAAGAAGAAAGTAGATAAAGCCCAGACGAAGAAGAGAAGCCCAAGAAGAAAATGGAGCAAACCCAAAAGATATATGGGTCAAACCGAGGAGTCGGCTAGACCCAGGAGTCGGGTCGACCCAGGAGTCGGGTCGACCCGGAGGTCGGCACGGGTAGGGGGTCGGTCTAACTAGCCGTTATTCCTACATTATCACCCATGAAACCTATTTACTACCCTATTATTACCTAATCATTACCCTACTTACTAACTAGCCGTTAGACACTTTATCAACCAACTTAATACCCATAACCCCCTAATTATCACCCATCAATACCCTACTAATGGTCCAACGGACACTTTTGGGGATGGGCTAGCTATAAAAAGAGGAAGAAGAACACAAGGGAGGATCCATTCATTCACCTACACACATGGGAGGACTCTCCCAAATATTATCCTCCCACTCACCATCCTTTCTCTCATAGAATACTACGCCACTCTCCCAAGAGAAGGCATTTCACATACACAACAAGAAGGTTATCAAGAAGACTCCATTCTACCAAAAGAAGCATACTCCATCTCTATATACAAAATAGCCATACAACATGTACAAAGACACCTACAAAATACATAGTGGAATTAGGCTTGGCACCGCCCAAAAAGGCCCGTGGTTTTCACCTTTCGGTTTCCACGTAAAAAATCATCGAGTCATATTTCTTCTATTTTAGTAGCCTTATTATGAAAGGTGAATCCACCAACCACAGGTTGTGTTGGACCTCCTTGGGCCCGAAAACCCAAAAACCAACAACTGCAATTAATAATAGTCAAACAAGTCAAAATTAAGTGATAGGTTAACTATTTTACCAAAGCGAGCCAATATGTTGCAAATACAATATTAACCATTTTCCATTTTGATAATGGTGTTGAAACATTTTGGGGAAGGGGAAATGGATTGACTAATGAGGACCATTGAAAGTGTTTGAGTTGGTGGGGCAAAGGTCTCTTGATTCACATGTGAAGGTTGGTGAAAGGCATCATCAACATATTATTGTTGCCATTATTCCTACCTCTCTCTCTCCCTACGTTAATTCATAGCTAGCTTCCCGGCCTCACTTTTCCCATATTCAGCCCCATACAAACATGTGTATACCCACGTAAGTGTATCATTTTGTCACTGAACCAAAAAAGGACAATTATTATTAATTTATTACACACACACTCACTCACTCACTCTTCCCTTTTAATTTCTAACATTATATTTCAGGTTTTAACTATCGGCCGACATTTTAAATTAACTAAATTCATTCTATAAGATATGGATCATCAAAATTAGTGTACAAAAAATTGTGAGATTTGGTAAAAGTATTATTGTTATTTGTTGCGGACCTTCTTGTCAACATTGTCCTCCATGCACGTTCACAGTACAGTTGTTAGAACGAGTTGGATGACCACCCTATGATGCGGACTACAAAGTGCAATGAGGCCTAGGAGATAAAGATATCTTGTGAAAAGATTTTGGGGTGTTTAGTAAATAGTTGTTAGTTGATTGGGTTAATGAGTTTGACTTATTGATAGCATTAGTTGATTGTAGAAAGATATTTGGTAAATTAATTGTTAGCTGAGTTGATTATATACAAAATGATTTTTTCAAAAAATAAATCGAAAAAACTGCTTTGAGCATCTTTTTGAATTTTAGCGTTTAGGAGTAATAAGTTGTTGCAAAAACTAATCAATCAGAAAATTATATTGGTTGCTTTCAAAAAAAAAAAAAAGACAATTATATTGATTATTTAACCAAGTCAAACAGTTAATAGTGATCAAATAAACTAAAATTGACTAATAAGCTACTATGTTACCAAACTGGGCGTTTGAGTTGTTGTCCTCATGATCCCCTCCCTTTGATCCAACAAACCAAAAAAAAAAAAATAAATAAATAAATAAATTAATCAAAGTGATAGTTGAAGGCTACAAGTAAAAGAATCAATATAATAGGTGGATAAAAATAACATTATCATGATTTTATTTTTAATTTTAGCTATGTAGTGTGCCATTACAAATAGCAAATGAACAATTGAGATCATTTGTATGGGCAAGAGTGGATTGAAAATTTATTTATAAGTTAAAATGAGCGAAAAGTACATTGAATTACATATCATTTGTGGGAGGACAATTATATATGATATACATGCCATGAATTTATAATAAACAAATATTGCCCGTATGGATAGTTCAACTAGTCATAGAGGTGAAAGTTCAGAAAAATGACCAGGGATTAGTCTCACCAACAAAAATGAAGGGGGCTCCTTGAGCAAAGATCTATTGAGTCACCAATTTTTATACCTACTTTATTCTATCTTATTCTTTTTTCACTGAATTACAATTTTTTTTTTCTCCTAATTCCTTCATTCCAATCAAACATTTGTCGGCTGAGGCAATTAACCTTCACCAAGTCTTTAGAATAGGAGTAGGAAATTTCAAGATTAGAGTGCAATGTTTTGAATAGAGAAATACAAGTTGGGGAAGGGATCAAGAAAAGTATAGGCATGTCTTTATTAGAGTGATAAACAATGTAGAATAAGATGGGGAAAAAATTGAATTCGTTTAAGGCAAAGGCAGGATGTTACTCCTTATATATTTGAAAACTTGTTGAGTAAATCAAACTCACCTCACCTCTCCTCATAAATTTGTTTCTCTTTTTTCTGTCTTGTACGTGTTCTGTCATTTGTCTGAGTGAAACTCACAAGAGAGCCAAAAAGAAAGAAAAGAGGAAAGAAGAAGATGGTGAGCAAGAAACCAAAAGTTGTGATAATTGGAGCAGGAATGGCTGGGCTCACAGCAGCAAACAAGCTCTACACAGCTGCAGGCTCAAAAGAGGTGTTTGAGGTGTGTGTGTTGGAGGCAGGGAACAGGATTGGTGGGAGGATTAACACCTCAGAGTTTGGTGGTGATAGGATTGAGATGGGTGCTACTTGGATCCATGGAATTGGGGGCAGCCCAGTTTACAGGATTGCTCAAGAAATCAATTCTCTCAAGTCTGAACAGCCATGGGAGTGTATGGATGGGTCTTCAGAGGAGGCAGTGACCATTGCAGAAGGTGGATATGAGCTTAGCTCATCTATGGTTGAGCCCATATACACCCTTTTCACAAAGCTCATGAATTTTGCTCAGGGTAAAGCCATGGAAGCTGAAAAGTCTTCAAATGGGTGGTGTATAAAGAATGGTGGCTGCCATGAAAGTGTGAGTGTTGGTTCTTTTCTTAGAAAAGGGCTTGCTGCATATTGGGAATCAAGGAAAGAGGAAGATATGGTGAGGCTGGGGTTTGGAGGGTGGACCAGAAAATCACTAGAAGAAGCCATTTTTGCAATGTTTGAGAACACCCAAAGGACTTACACCTCAGCTGATGATTTGCAGAATCTTGATTTCAATGCAGAGAGTGAGTACAGGATGTTCCCAGGGGAAGAAATCACCATTGCCAAAGGCTACTTGAGCATAATTGAGTCCTTGGCATCTGTATTGCCATCTGGTTTGATCCAATTAGGCAGGAAAGTTGCCAGAATTGGATGGAGCCCTGATGGTGGTAGGCCAGTGAAGCTGCATTTTGTGGATGGATCAATCATGTATGCTGATCATGTGATTATCACAGTCTCATTGGGAGTTCTGAAACAAGGAATTCGCGAAGACCCCGGTTTGTTTGATCCTCCACTTCCCAGCTTCAAAGCTGAAGCAATTTCAAGACTTGGTTTTGGGGTTGTGAACAAGCTGTTCTTGCAACTTGGGCAAAACCCCACAAACTTCCCAAACCTGCAAATGGCATTCCACCAATCAGACCCCCCAAAGTTAAGGCAGCCATGGTGGATGAGGAGAATAGCCACTCTGCGCCCAATTTACACCAATTCAAGTGTCATCTTGTTGTGGTTTGCTGGCAAAGAAGCCCTGCAACTTGAATCTCTCAGTGATGAAGACATCATTGATGGGGTCTCAACCACAATCTCAAACTTCTTACCAGATTCCTTCATGACTGGACACACAGATTCCTCTGCAGAAACCTCAAATTGTTTCAAGTTTGTCAAGGTTTTGAAGACCAAATGGGGGAGTGATCCACTCTTCTTGGGATCATATAGCTATGTAGCTGTTGGGTCAAGTGGAGATGATTTGGACACCATGGCTGAGCCATTGCCAGCCAAAGGTAACAATCCTCTTCAAATTCTATTTGCAGGGGAAGCAACACACAGAACCCATTATTCAACAACCCATGGTGCTTATTTTAGTGGCATTAGGGAAGCCAATAGGCTTCTCCAACACTACTGCATTGGTGTATGAAACTAAAACAAAAAAAAAAAAAAAAAAAAAAAAGTTTGCTTAATGCTTATGTTATTGCACTATATAAGATAATAATTAGGTTATTTTTTCCATATTTAATTTTCTACAATTCATTTAGAAAGATGGTCCTTTTCCCATTCCCTAATGTACTGATGAATGAATTAAACAAGTTTCTTCCAATTCCTGTATTGCTCTTGCCTTTGTCCTCGCCACAATCTATCACACAGGAACCAACTGATCTGCCAATTTTTGTTTATTGCATCTCCTTTGCTAGTATATTCAATATTGTGGAAGTGCAGACATAAATCAGCATATTTTATACACCAATAATCAATATTTGAATAAATCATGGGGTATTTAGCATGCATAAATCTTGTTCTTTTGTGAGGTGAGACAAAGGGGGCTTTTGGCTTTTCAAGGCTATGGTGATATGGACTATGGATGGGTGGCTGGCTATATAATTCATGGTTTTCTGTATTTTTCATTATCTGATACAGTGGGGGGATCTTGGGCTTTTCAAGGATGTCACAATCTGCAGATATATATATATGCATTTATATTTTCTTTTGAAATTGATTTTGGACTGTGAACTATTCATTGAAAATTGAGTGGTCAAATCAGTAAAGCTGTTCATTCAGGACTCCATTTGCAAATTGCCAAGGTTCTTCCCCAGAAAAGCTGGAATGGACATCTGATGTGTCTTTTTACCACTCTTCTGGGGTTTCAATAATCTCCCATTAATCAATCTGAATTTCACACTAATCACACCTCTTCAAGTCTCTAATACCCCCTTTCAAAGCGAGTTGGATTGCATATTTATGTTTATACATTATATGTTTGTACGATCCGGTTACTTTTGATGAGTTTCAAGCAACACATTGATCATAGTCTCCTTTTGTTATAAGATTGACTTTTATATCAAATTTGAAGCATGTGCTTCAGTTGAATTGTACATTTATATTTATATATTATATGTTGAGCAGTGAGATTCAAACATTTTACCCAAATTATCATCATAATCATCTCAATTAATAGCAGTGCTAGCTTCTTTTCTGGGATTAACTCTCCACTACTTATTACTCTCTGGTACTGAGCCATAATTAATAGGTTTATAACTGTCCTATTACGGTGGTCAGCCGCCAGATTTGACAATAATCATTATGTTAATTGTTTGGCAGAAAAAAATAAATAAATAAATAAATAAATTATGAGTATATCCAAGCATAAAATGGGTTGTTGGAGAATGGAACAAGAACAACCCGCAAGAAGAGATAATAAAGAAAGTAGAAACTTGACAATAACAATATTACTAAACTTCATCAAGTTTCATACCAATGTACAAAAGATACAGGAAATATAAATTGCATTAAAAAGATTTTGTATAACAGACTCGACTAAAAGGTATTTAATTAACTTAGTGTTACACTATACTTACTTCCTAGGAGGTCTCTCATCCTGTAAATGCTAGTTATTTGGCTATTTGGTTGTCATATCATACTTAAAACCAGTGTGATAAGGTAGGTGGACATTAACCATTAACCATATCCCTCTATGGTAAACCACAGCGCTACGTCTCGAATCGAGCAAGAACTGAACACCGTCGACACCTAACAATATATATTGACGAGTTTTAATTTTTTCGACAAGTGAATGATACTTTACTCACTCGGCATAAGTCTGTTATTCCTTGTTCATGAACAGTTGTGTCAAAGCTGCAACCCCATTAAAATAAGCCATAATTTTAATTACTTGAAGTGGTGTCCTACCTTTTTATTTATTTATTGTTACCAAATCATAATAACTTTTCCATTTTGGACCAATTGGCAATCAAAATTGAGGAGAATATTTGAACAAGTAATTAACTATATTATCTCATTGGTATCAAACCTTACTTTATGTTAAAGCAGTCCATTATAAAAGGTATCCCTCCAACTAATTAAACTGGAAAATAAAGAAACTTATAGGTTAAGGTAATCTAGTGAATAGGATCTTTTCATTATTTTAAAAGTATCTAATAATTATATTGAATTTTTGTTCATTTGAAATTGAATTATTACTGAAATCTCGTTTAGGAGAACTCTAAGAATAAACGTTTTATTTACAATATTTGAATTTAAAATTTTAATATGATATTTAGATGGAAAAGATTATTGTTCACTAATTTTTTTTAAAAGAAAATTTATGATTTGCCCTCATAATAGGGCTCTGTGTGTTTCAGTTCATCATGCACTGTCATCTGCTGATCATACCCATTCTGTCTTCTGCCTGTACGAGACTGCTACTCAATTATTTTACTTTTATGTTATTTTATTTTAGTTTTCTTGAATCAAATAATAAATAAATTTATTTTGAAAAGAAAAAGTTTAAATTAAAAAATACTGGGTGTCGGGCATCAGTCGGGTTGGCCGAGTTCAGTCTTTACTCGATTCAAGATGTGGCACTGTGGCTTACTATAGGGGATGTTGTTAAATGGTTAATGTCAACGTACATATCACCAATGTGTTTTAAGTAAGATATGACAACTAGATAGTCAAAGAAATTTGTAGTTAAGCATGCTTGACTTACAACAATTATTGATCCAGTAGGAAGTAAGCATAGTGCAATGTTAAGATCCAACAATGGGTATCAGAGTCTAGGTCACGGGCTCGAATCGATAGCGAGGGAAAAGTCGAGTCCAGTCCTAGATGAGATATGGGCGCAGGTTGGGCAAAGTCCAATCCCAGGGTGGGGATGACGGGTGCAAAGGCTAAAGACCGAGTCAGCATGCTGCGCACTTGGGCTTGGTGTTCAAAGGTTGCGACAGGTGCTGAGAGGGAATTGTTGGGCGTCGGTCGGGTTGGATGTGTTCAGTCCCTGCTCGATTCGAGACGTGGTGTGGAGGAATGTGGTTAAATGGTTAATGTCCACCTACTTATCACCAATTAGTTTTAAGTAAGATATAATTCAACTCTGTGGTTAAACGTGTTTAACTTACAACAGGAGTGAATAAGCATAGTGCAATGTACATCACATGCTTGTCCATACACATTTATATATAACCATTTTCAACACCGTGACAAGATATGAAAGGAAAGGCCTAGATGATGAAATAGGTGGTAAAAGATTTTATTCCAAAGAAAATGAATTTTAACCTTTGTGTGAATAAAGGAAGCTTGGGAAAACAATAAGTGTTGGCTGTGAGGTCATTATCAGTAAATCCATAATTGAAAGTATTTGGACATCCCAAATCTTGTGTGTTTGTAATTGTTAGAATGGAGGTTGGACACCAGACCCCACTGTTACCAATCTTTATACTCTTGTTTTGGCATCAATCCCAGACCACACAGTACAACACTTTGTGTTTCATATCATCCAGGGAATCCTTTTCTCTCTCACTTTTTTTTTTTTATAACAAAAAAAAAAAAAGGAAAATAATTGACTAAAAATATTTACATATTATTGGCTTTTTAATTTTTTTTTTTTTTTATGATTTTACTTTTAAAATAATTTTACATACTCCGCAATATTTTGTTGTCAAGAAAGAGTGAAATGGGCCAAATTCCAATACTTCACTCATTTTAGAGTTTTTGATCCATATGGATCAATCCCAAAAGTATGTCCACATAAAAATGAAATTGGGCTATTCTTATTGGGTTGGGCTTCATGAAACTGGATTGTGATTTGTGAATTAGAATTAATGGATCTGTGGGATTCCGTGCTCGGTCAATGTCGTCAATTTATATCCTACACCACGGCACGTGTTGCATGCAAAACGACGTCGTTTCAATTTTATTTTTTTAAAAAAAAAAATTCGCTACCCAGTGTTTGACAATTAATTTTCCTTTAAAAAAATCGCATGTACATAATGTTATACTAGAATACACATAATTGTATACATGAATGTACATAATTATATAACAAAATACACATACTCTTTTTTAAAAAATAATACACATAATCTAACATAATACATAATAAACATAAATTTTAACATAATACACATCAACTCTTAACATAATACACAAAAATTTCCTGATACGGATGTACATAATTGTATAAAAAAATGTACATAATTGTATAAAAAATGTACATAATAAAAAATATACATAATTGTATAAACAAATATACATAATCATGTCAACTTCCTACCCCCGCGCCTCCCAAAACGACGTCGTTTTGGGAGGCGCGGGGCGCACAGTGTGGTGCAGGGTATAACGATTTGTCAATGTCATGTCAAGTTGAATGTTGGAATGAAGTAAGAAATGTTATTCACTCCGTCCCATTTTATGTGTCTGATTCAATTAACAAGGTTTGACTGAAGTTATTTTTAATTCAATTTTTCATAATATTAAGTTTAGTATTAGTATATGAAATTTATATATTTAAAAATTACACTAAAAGTATTATTAAATACAAAAAATTAAATTTAAAAATAAGTAAAAATACTAAAGAAAATAAACAAATAAAAAAGAATTGGTTTGACCAATAAATAGTAAGTATGATAGATAAAATGGGACAGAGTGAGTATAAGGAACGAATTTCCCTCGAAATAATGTTATCTTATAAGGGAAAATGTAATACTTTTGATAAAAAAAAAAAATACTTTTACAATTTTACATCAAAATATAAAAGTATTACATTTGCCCTCAAAAGTATTATGTTTTCTTTTATAAGTAACAAACATTTTATTCATAATTTAATATTATATTTTCTAGTATTATATTTGCATATTGACTCGACCCAAGCGACACTTTATCCCTGAGACGGCCTTCCACAAGTGTGCTACGTTTTAATAGTGTTTGACCAAGATTTATGTCACTATTTTCACAAAACACGTTATCTTTTTTTTTTTTTAGTACATCATCTTAATTCTTAAAACAAACTTCCTTAATTTCAACTACGAAAAAATAAACATGTGTGGTCTCTTAATTTTGTATGATTAAACATATGATTAAAAGTTATAAAATATACATTGAACTTTGTAACATTGTAGCAATTTTGATTATTCACGAAATAAATAATGTAAGATGGTGTTAGAATTCATATACTTCCATTCATACACTTAAATTTTCGTTCACCACTGAATTTATTGATAATGTTGAAAATATGTTTTATAAATTTTGATGATAAAATATCAAAAGCATGAATAGCAAGTCTTAGACTATCGTGGTTGACGGAGTCACCCACTTTAGGTTCCATTTACTTGAATAGGTCTACTCCTTAGTGGTATTCAAACATGTTAGCTGTATATAATTTGTCCTGCGTGCTATTATTATCTCTGCATTATCTGTTGTATGGCATGTTCTACAGGGCAGTCAATAGCGCTCCGGGAGGTGTTACAATTGTGGTGCAGCCCGGCTAGGCGGCATTATGGTGTGTAGCCGCTGTAGTGCAACTGGCTGGGAGGGGCCACGTGTGTAACACGCGAGGCATCTATCCTTGCTACTTGAGCCTTCGGAGTACATGATTGGAGCAGCACCTCAGTCTACTTGAGTTGGGTTATATTCGCATTCCTATTTCATCGGGCGTTTATTTTGTGACTTTCCTTTCATCATAGTCTTTGGTCTAGTGTTAGTCATCTAGCATGGGACCTGGGGCATGTATGGTATAGCCCCGGGGGCCTCGTTATGTAATCTCGTTTTTATTTTCTAGCTTAGTGTTAGTTAGTGGGTTTTGGTCGTCTGTGGCCTAACCCCTTGGACTTTGTATTGGCTTCGGCCTTTTATTAATAAAGCATGATTTACTTAAAAAAAAATAAAAAAATAAAAAAAAAAACAAAAAAAAAAACAAAAAAAAAACATGTTCATATATATCACAATTTATTATGCAATTAATCGTATAATTAAGTGATATATGTGTCGGTACAGGCTTAGTTCATTGGTTCAATAGTTAGTATTTAGGAGAAGAGATTAATGTTCAAACCTCGATAGCAACAGTGTGTGAATTATGTCTAATTCTCATATCAAAAGATCATGAATTTAATTTTTTTATCTTAACATTCTCTTAGACAAACTCGAACGTATAAAGTCTTTCTAGTCGATTCACATATCCTATATAATTTACTGTTGAAAAAAATAGCTTAAAATGACATAAAATGGCATGTTAAGTGGCTATTTTGTGGTACAATTATCAGTGGGGTCCACTTCCGATTTGGGTCGGGTCAAAGTGGATTCGGATTCTTCGTAGTGAGACGAAGAGATTGATATATTGTACGCTCAAAACGGATAATGGGTGAATGAGATATTGATTCTCAAAGTAGACCCATTGAGTTCAAAAAATGAAGGGAAAAAGTGAGTTTTTGTCCCACATTGGCTTGAAAAGAGGATTTGCCCCCCTATTTATACAAGAGCTTTTTTAAAGCTTATAAAATTGTATAGCATAGAGGCACTCATGGGGGGTGGGGGCTCTTTGCTTCTACCCCTTTCTTAAGCCTACTGTGTTCATAATCTTGTAATCCCTTGTTTGGGTGTAAACATTGAATCACAGCAAGTTTTATCTCGCTCCTAGCACTTTTGGGAGGTAGGAAAGAGTGATCGTTCTTTTCCAGAAAAAATAATAATCTTATTTTATTGGATTATTATTTATTTTTCACCAACGGATTACATTGTAGTATCTGTTCATATACTTTCTCAACCTACTGAAACACAAAGAACCAATAACGCCTCCACTAAGGCTCAAACACATAATCTTCCAAATGAAAGTTCAACCCGGGTACCATTAGACCACATAGTCCTGGTAGTGAAATTTATTTAGTACACCAAAAATAAATAAATAAAATTTTGACCAATCTTGGCCGTATTGAACGTATTGTCCACAAAATGCACATAAGCACCTACCATTGAAAATTATTCAAGATTGGCTAGAACGCCTAGAAGGCTTTAAACATAGCTTTCAACAATTTATATTTATTGCAACTATCATCCACTTATTTATTGAATGGCTTTTGCATTCCAAATTTCCAATTTGTATGATATATGACAAAGAGAAAATTACAATGTTGGTCCTTTGAATTTGATGAAGGATCACAATAGCACTTCTGATAAGTTGAAAGGGTAACACTGTAATTTCATTTATAATTTCGTTGTAATCGCTTGTCAACCGCTTCTCCCTCCATAATATAAGAGGGAGTTGCGCTCTGCTTGTTCGAGTTCATTCATTCTGTACTTCTAACGTCTTCCATCCATCAATGCAAAGCTTACGTTTCTCTCTTCATCAGAATTATAGAGTAATAGTATATTTAACCTTTATATTATAGACATCATGAAACACTCTTGGTCTTTCTCTAAATAATTATCTTAAAATTTTTCATTACATTTTAAAAATTTTAGTTGATAGAGGTTAATAATGAATTTTTCATTTTCTTCCATCGAGCCACTCTTTAACTCCACAATTTAGTGACAAAAACACATAAACATAGATTACTTATATCCATTTTATTGATAAACAATGAAAGCAAAATTCATAAAAGTTGTTTGTTAGCCGCCGCGTACAAGATTTAAATACAACCAATGAACAAAAACAAAAGGGAAATATGAGTTTAGTTTTGTTGTGGATGCCAGTAAACGTTCATTTGGAGGACTGTCAGCTAGTTGAAGCACATTATGCGATTCCCTTCATCTATCAGTCTCCTAGGATAAGAGTAGTACCTTTAAGTTTGAAGTTTTTTTTTTTTTTTTTTGAATGCTACTAGCTCTATTACATTGTAGTATCTGTTCATATACTTTCTCAACCTACTAAAACACAAAGAGCTAATAACGCATCCACTGAGGCTCGAACTCACAACCTTCCAAATGAAAAAAAAAAAATGGTAAATTAAACCTGAATTTTAAATAAAAAATTACTTAATACAATAAATGGTAAATTTTAACAAACTCGTTAAACGATAAGTCAAAAGCACACTTTACTCATTGATAATTCAAGGAATAAAAGCTGTTATGCTTAAGCATAGGGATTAGTTTTTGTTGAAGATAACCCTAATCAATTTGGTTTGATAGTTGACTTAGTAAGTACAAGTTTGACTCCTTGTAGGAGATTGTGTTTGGTTTTAATTTGTGCAATTTACCTGATAAACACTTTTTTTTTTTTTTGCCATTGAAGTGTAGTTAAAATTTCAAAATTATTTTGGTTTCTAAGTTTACTAAATACTGCTAGTTGAAATAAATATTACAAATTTAAGTACGTTGTTGTTTTTATATATGTCAATAAATTTGATTGAGTCTTCAATATATAAGCACTTTCAATTCATATGTCATTTCCATTTTCAAAATATAAATAAATAAAGAGAGCAATGGTTATACTAATATCATATTTTTAATTTTTCATTTACAACAAGACATCACAAAAGACAAGCATATTAAATCATTGACAGATATTAACAAAATTTTATGAAATAGTTTGCTCAAATAAAGAAATGTTAATATGAAAAACTAATATGAATATACATATACAAATCAATAAGTGTTATTTGAACATCCATTTTGCTTAAATGCTCTTCAAGAATATATGTAAGAAACAAAAACATAATAAATAAAATATATTAGCAATATATTACGCACATATAAATATGAAACAATGCATATAAATATCACCTTTATTATTTAGAAAAAGATAAATTTATTTTTTGACTAGTAAATTGACATTTAGCTTTGAAACTAAAGATAAGTATATACATGTTTATAAATTTTTAAAATGTAGCAATTCTTCATTACAAATGAAGAAAATCGGTATATATAAAGATTTAGTTAAAGAAATTTGAGAAAAATCTATAAAATGATTAATATGTCCTTCAATAATTTGAGAATTTGAAGTGCAATGTTGTTATTATTATTATTATTATTATTATTATTATTATTATTATTATTATTTGAAAGCTACTAACTCAATTACATCCCATATGAAAGAGGTCACTACATGCCATCTGAGCACAAGGTGCTTGGCAAGTGCATTGATAATTTTAATAGAATTTGTTAGTAATGGATTAAAACTGTCACTTTACACATTAATCAAAGGTGAAAATATGCATATAATAATAAATCGTGAATTGAGTCTACAATATAGGTATAATTAAGTAATAGTAAATATACTTCTCACTTTCTACTGAATTGTCATCCTTTGATTGATTTAAACAACAAAGTGAGCCACTATTTTTATTCATTCACTTTTATTAATCCAATAAAATAAAATTTGTACACACGACGAGAATTATACTCCATGAAAATACATATATCATTTTCTGGTATCACAATTTTCCATATTTCTTTTCTTTTACTATTTTTAAATGCATTATTTAATTTCTTTTTTTTTTAATATACATTTTTCGATTAATAAACACATTCATACATTCTTCAATCAAGCATGAAATTTACCACTAAAAATGTTGGAAGAGTGAAAGACAAAGCACAAATCTTGAATGACATTTATATGTCCATTGAAACTTCTGTTTACTAGGCTTGTCATTCATCATTTCACCTTTTCTTTTTGTAAAGAAAAAGGGGGAAAAACGAACCAAAATATTAGAAGAAGAAAAAAAGAATTCTTATGAAAATGCCAAAAGGACAAAACGAGTAATCTTCACTTCATTCACTTTGCCTCTCTAGTCCCTAATCTACAACTTTTTTTTTTCTTCAATTTCAAGATCACTGGTTCTAGAACAGTAGAACCCCCGCAAAATCCACAAAATCCCCGAGGAGGGTTTCCGATTTGGTCCTTATACTTTCAGATAATTACAGATGACCCCACGCTGTGTAAAAAGAAATACGGAGCACTTTTCACATGTCACCCAGAAAGTTAGTCCAAATAGAATCGTCAGTATGATCGCCATCGTCGATCCAACGGTTAGACCAATCACAGCCGTACGTGTCGTTGACAAGAAGTCTTTCCGTTTCCAAAGCATCGTTCTCGACCATCCACCCACGCGCCTCGTCAGCGTCGGGCCCCCACGCGCAGCCTTTCTCCTTCTTAGACCACCCTCCGAGCACCCCCGTGACGCCGCCCATGTCGATGCTGGCCATCATGGAGGAATCCAAGTCGGAAAACGACGAACCGCAGGACTCCTCGTTGCCGTTGATGGTAATGTAAGCCGCCGAGGACTGGAAAATCACCGGCGGCGAATACGGGTCCTCGATGAACCTCACTCTGCAACCCTGCTGCTGCGACGACGTCTCCGAGTCCAAAAGCTCAGATAACTCCGTCATTGCCTCGTCGTCCAGCGTTAACCACGCCATCATATCTTCCCCGTCCTCCGCCGCCTCACCGACGTCACAAATCGCCGCCATTTTCGGCCGCTTGACGGCGTCGCCGGCCTCACTCCCTTGCCTCTTCACATTCACCTCCTTCTTCTCCATTCCTCCAGAGAGATAACTTTTAGAATTCCTATGAAATCGAGAGCTCAGTGCAATGACTGAGAAATCTCCGACACATTATAGAGAGAGAAAGAGAGATTTACACGAGGCCGTTTTAGAGAGAGAAACTTCGCGGCAAGCAACTGACAGCGGAGTAGAGAGTAGAGAGTAGAGAAGGTCCATTATGCGTGTAACCACTCCACACGTTATATTTATAGTGCGTTTACGGGCCACGTGTAAGGGATTTGACTGGGTAGATGACGTGGTGGTAGATGAGGCGATTGCTGCTTATTAAAACACGATTAATTCTATTTCCTTTTTTTAATTAATCTCATTATTCAAATGAAACGTGAGGTGAATCATCTCTAACAGGGCGTTTGGTTGGAGGGATTTTAAATTCTCTGCCCACTTAATTCCCACCTAATTCCAAAGGCCATTAAATTTCGTAGTTTGGTTGGAGGAAGGAATTGCAATTCCCCCATTTTCATGGAATTAAAATCCCATGTCCCCCCTGGTATTTTAATTCCTGGGAAAAAAAGATAGTGATGAGTCAAAATTATCCCTTACTTTTTTAACCTAAAATTAATGTCTAACAACAATAATGGACATTTTTTACTTTATACTACTTATTCCCTTTCAATTCCCATGCATACCAAACATTGGAATTGAAATTCCCAGTAATTCTATTCCTATCAACCAAACACTGGAATTTAAATTCTCACTTTATTCCCAGTAATTCAACTCCCATGGAATTACAATTCTTTTCTCACATAATTCCCCCCCTCCAACCAAACGCCCTGTAAATTCGGACCCATTTGAAACTTAATTTGATTAGTTTTATGTATTTATTTATGGAAATGATTAACAACGAAGGCTAAAACCAAATCTTTTCAATTCACAAAATTATTTCCAAATTTAAAATAAAAAAACATTATTTTTCAATTTAATACACAAAAATAATTGCACATATTACTATCATCGCCATACTTGTATGCTTTTACTATATACGGAGTATATTTTTATTTACGAGAAAATCTGCCGACCAATTTGATTGATTGCGGTTGCCTATCACCTATGTAATCCTACACCATGCTTACCTACCTTGTTTGTCACTAGATATTTACCATCCTATTTCATAAGAGAGGTAAATTATATCGCACTAAGAATACTCAAATTTGATGTAATAGATTTGATGATTAAAGTGTTAGCAAGAATCGAATACTAGAATCATGTTTCATAGGACATAATGTATGCTCTTACAAATGCAAATAGTATTTCCATCATATTATAAACATCACATTCTAACTATGTGTCCATGTCAATGGAGGGAATAATTTTGTGGCCCGCGTAAATGCATAGCTTTAAATTCGGATATTCATTATTTTCAAAAGGTTGAATCTTCAATTTCAAAAGTCTTCACCTCCCGACCTGACAGAGAATTTCAAGAATCTTCACGTCCCGATCAGATAGAGCATCTGGAGAATGTTCTAAGCATTGTTCATAGTTGTAACCCAACATACAGAGTAAGCTGTAAGGCTGTAAGCGCAGATGAGGGGGAAAATAGGTAAAATAATAAGAATGGGGAAATGGGCATGGAGACACGGGGGGAAGGAAGGCGGTGACGTGGTGGAAAAGGTGGCGGTGCTGTCAGCCTTAATGGGACGACAAAAAGTGTGTTTGTTTGGTAGTGCCACCTTTTTCTCCTGGAAAACATACACACATCACACATACATCTGCCACCCATGACATCATTCCCATGTTTTTATTTCTTCTTTTCTGGTGTTATGTTTTAAATAATTATTTGAGTATGTGGAAAATTGGGAAGAAATAATAATTAAACAATGGAAAATGGATAACAGTTTCTAATTTTTCTTTCAACTATGTAAAGCTGGTCAATATTTTGAAAAAAAATCACACTCTAACAATGAAAAACGTGGATGAACAGTATTGCTTTTTTCAGTATAATCTGTTTTTCCCCTCCGATCCATGTTTTCTGCATAATGAAAATGGAAATTGGAAAATATAATAAAATTTTGAGACATAGCTTTTCATGTTGGAAAATATAATAAAAAATTGAGATGCTTCCCATTTCCTAGAATGGTATTATGGTTCAAGTCAGGTAGGAACGGTCTATTAACTATGACAACCTAGGCTGTCTTACCTCCTAGTGATATTTTTCAACTAGGATCACAAGGCAAGCTTTACCCAGAATGCACATACGGGTTACAATTGTGACTTTCTCCTAAATAAAAAATATAGAATTGTATTATGGGATCAATGTCTGACCCTAAGTTCATATTAAGTCCATATACTAGGGAAAGTATGTAACAGAGATGGAATTCTATAGAGGCTATCCTCAAACTCTATCATATCAAATGAAGTTCTAAAGAAAATTTTTAGAAACTCGAAAAACAAGACTCTGCCCAGCTCCATTCCAAGCTATCAAACAAAAACTCCCGAGGCAAGTAGTAAGAACAACGATCCAAAACCCTACACGGAGAAAAAAGAAAGTTGAGGATGAGCAGGCGATAGAAAATGAAGCCTCGTACTAGTATCAATTATTGATGAGATACCAAGAATACAGATGCCACAGCCGCTGTGGTAAGCTCCTTTGCGAGGCTGCGGTTCTTCCTAGAAGAAGTAGTTTCATAGCTGCATAGCAAAATGCATTATTATAATTACTAGATTACACGAGGTATAGGGTTCATAAGAATATGTAGAAAACTATTAGTCCTAGACTTGAGAAGGAATTCTCTATTACACATTTCATTATTAGCCCAAGCAGAGTATAATGCAACATTTTCCTTTCTTTGGTATGTAATGAAAATCACAAAGCATAATGTTCTCATATAGACTTGATCACACTAATACGAACTTACATTCACTTACTAGGATCACTAGTAAGTAGAAAAATGAATATATTTTTTTCCTTCATATAGCTTAAAACTACCTTTCAATTTCAAGATTTAACAGTCTAGGCATATATGCTCTTACAGAATTTTACTTGGTAATCAAATATTTCATCCATGTTTCCATGTACCTCCCCTATGCTTCCTATTGGTGAATTCTTACAGTCTTGGCTGTTATATCCACCAGTAACTTGAGTTCGATCAATTGAAAGAAAACATTTACACAATTGGAATCTCCAGCCATCTTATTATAAGATTAGATTAGAATAGAATAGCAAGACATCATCCCTGTTAAATTTATTTACCATTCGAATTGTATTTATAATTTTATATAGGGCTCTTGTAGCTATTGAGTTCTAATTTATAAGTAACTGTGATCTGCGAACCTTTCTGAAGTTTCATCAAACATGAGTTCTACTTCCAACACGAAACAATCGATGCTATGATGTAGGCTGATTTGCTAGTCTACTACTTAGACTTTCACTCTACGGAACAAATACCAAGAAAACAAGTACTTTTTTCAGAAACCGAGATTCAATTCTCAAGGTTTTCAGTCAATCTGGATATATAGCATTTTGATGCAACCAAACGTGTGAAAACAGGCACAGAAACCATTAAAAATGAACGCAGAAATCATAAATTGAAAACAAACAAGTAGATCGAAGGGCTAACATGAAGAAGGAAGCAGTGACGGCGAGGCCAACGGCAAGCATGAAGAAGGCTAGGGTTGGATACATCGATTCCGGAACCGGGCCGGAGATCGGTTTCGCTGATTGACCCTAAATTACACCACAATCACCCATTCATTCATTAAAACTTAAAAGAGAAATCAAAATTAATTTTGAGAAATAAACAAACAAATTAAAAGCTATAAACTTTTTGATACCATTTCTTTCGACAGATCTCCTCTCTTGTCAGACGACTGGCTTGCTAAGTCATTTCGAAGACTCTGTAGCTTTTACTGAGAGACAGACTGGGAGCTGCAATCTAGTGCTTCTCTTTACACCAATCTCCGACCAACCCGTGTTTTAAGCCGTTGATCTCTCAACTTTTTTTTTTTTTTGAGTTAATTTCATTTTTGTCCTACATTTATAGGTGATAGTCCACTTTAAGTCATTTTTTATCAGAATATCCACTTTTGATCCTACTATTATTGTGACATGATTATTTTTTATCTTTTACAACAAAACAAGTTTAAATATCGTTAAATAGTAAATACAAGAGCATCTACATCTTCAATTATGAATTTTTTTTCGAAAAAAATATATATAAATATAGCGGGTCAACTTACTTTGTATAAAAAAGATCAAATTGTCTATGTATTTAACGACATTTCCATGATTTTGTTGACGAAGGACTAAAAATGATTAGGCCACAATAATACTATGACCAAATGAAAATCTACTACACTAATAAGAGCCCAAGAGAGTTAGGCCTATAATGGGTAAAAAAAATGGCGGTCACAGATTTTAATCAAATGAATGGCTCAGATTGATTGAAAGATTGATCAGATTTAAATTTTACACTAAAATTTCTTAAAATACCCACACATTGTTACTAATTCCGTTAAAATTTTAAGAATTGCCGTTAGTTCACCGTTAACTTACTCATTGATTTCAATAGAAAAAGGTCTTAGGTTCAAACCTCATCCCAATCAAAGTTGGCATAATTAGTACTTTATTTTACTCTTATTAAATTATATAAATAATAATTTAGTAGTTACAACAAAAAATAATACATATGCATTTCTTTAATTTATAATTATGTGTCCACAATGCCTTTATTCAAAAAAAAAAAAAAATATTCATTATCAATAAATTAAATAAGAGAAATAATTTTATTAGTTATATTGTCTTTATTTTTCTTCAATATAAAAATTCTTTATATTCAAATTTATTAATTGATTATATTCGCTACATTATCCTTACAATATCTTTATTCAGTGAAAAAAAATTATTAATTATCAATAAATTAATTAAAAGAAATATTTTCAATAGTTATATTGTCTTTATTTTTCTCAAATGTAAAGTTTTTACATTCAAATTCATCAATTGATTATATTCACTACATTATCTATTATCTTTTTTGTTCACTTTTTTTCTAATTAAATATCAAAGTTATAATACAAAATAATGCTATATATTTATTTACCAAGTATTTTATTAATACCATGAAAAAATTTAAAAAATATAATTAATAAAGCCAACCATATTAACTGCTTGAGAGATTTTGTGACAAAGAGTATTCAAATCACACAACAAATTGAAGTGAGAACTACCTCGCAATGTCCTTGTTTGACAGTTAGCGGTTAGCGTTAACGGATTATACTAGCGGATTTGACCAGCGAATTTAAATCAAATGGATGGTTCATATTGTTCAGGTTTTAATTTTTTTTCTTTTAAGATTTTCTAATTTATCCTTAATTATATGATTATCCATTTAATTTTTCCGTTAATTCACCCTTAGTCTAATTCTAATATTAAAGTCTAATATAGAATTATAACTACACCATTAATCTAATTCTAATATTAAAGTCTTAATAAAACTTAACCACAAATCCTAATGTCGGAATCTTCTCAAACAATATTAGTATATATTTAATATTTTATGCCCTAATTTTTATTTGTTCTCCCTTATGTCCCGTATTTGGTTTCAACCATACCTATACAATTATTTTATTGACAATTATAATCAATCTTGACTATATTATCTTGCATTTGTAAACTTAGAATTACCTATTTAACCCGCACAGGCATAGTTCAAAGGTTTAGTGGGTAGTATTTAGGAGAAGAGGCCAAGGTTTGAACCTCGGCGGCGGCAGTGCGGGAATTATGTCCAAAGTGGGCAGATTCCTTGTGCGTATCAGCATTTGACCCTGTCTGCTGAACCATTGAGTCACCGTGATTTACAACTTCCCACAATGTTCTGTCGGGCCGGAGTGTGGGGGGCTCTTGGGGTTGGGACTCAACCTTTGGGAGAAGAATTACCTATTTAAATACGCAAATTCAACCTTCAATTATCTATGCATGAACAATTTCAATATAATCCTGTCTTCATATACTTTAAAGTACTTATTTAAAAAAAAAGTATTGGGCACTATCCCAATCGCGCAATGCGCGTAAAAAAACTAGTTTTTTAATAAAAAGTGACTAAAAGCAGATTGTCACCTATAAATCTATGATTAAAAATAAAATTAACTCTTTTTTTAGGGGAATAAAAGATAAACCTACGTTAGAAAAATAAGACTCAGTTAGCGGATGACAAAAGTACATGATCACTCACACCAACCAATATTGGTTAACAACCAAACACATTTTTAGGGGGCGTTTGGTTCAGGTTATATTTGTTTGGTAATATAAGATTCTCATATTTGGTTCAGGTTATGTAATTTTCCCAGGGAATGTCAGATAACCTCCGTATTAAGTTTTTAGGTATTGGAAAGGAATGTGAGACCCTCCAATTTCTTAGGTAATCTCGCATTCCCTTTTCTTATTATTAATGTTGGGCTTTGGACGTTTTAATCAATTTATCATATTACCATTGTCTTATTTACATATCTTAGTTTAAAACCAAACACGTCAATCTAACATTCCCAACAATCTAACAATCCATAAGATAATCTAACATTCCGTGAACCAAATGCCCCCTTAGTGTTTTGACTAAGGTCGAAACACTAAAGTGGCAGATCCACCATTTACCAAACATGCCCTATATGTCTCTATGTGATGAATTTGATTGGAAGGATATTGACAAAAATTGAACTCTTAACAATGAAAGCATATGCTCCATCTCAACTGATAGTACACCTCACCTCCTCACGTGTGAGGTGGGCGGTAAACCATAGTCGCTAACCTTTGACTCTGATACCAAAATGAAGCATTTGCTCCATTTCAACTAAAAGTCTAAGCTGATAGTTGGATTGCACATTAATAGCTATATGCTCACATTAACAAACTGAAATAGGAAATAAATAAATAAATAAATAAAATAGGATAATTGGTAATTAGATTGTTAATGCAAGCCTTAAATAAGAAATTGAATCAAGCCTTAAATAAGAAATTCTGTAGGTATAACTTGAATCGAATCTAAATTATTCTTACAAGGACACCACTTGCTAAATACACACCCAAAAACAAAAATGCAACATAGTGTAAAAATCTATAAAATACACTACATTATACAATTTTTTTTTTTTGACAACAAACAACGATACAAATTCATTAATGAGAAATAAAAAGAGGGGAAGAAAACCACTCCTTACAATCAGCAAAGAACACGGCCTCTCGAACTAACAAGTGAGTCGTCGAGTTCGCGTTTGACAAATACAAAGTTAATAGAAGAAAAACTATTAACTAGTTCCCTAACATCTTCAAAGATCAAATCAAAGGAGGATACACCACAACCGTTTTGTAACCCCTAAACCACAAGCAGTGCATCCGATTCTACAAGAACAGAGTCAACTCCCAGCTTCTTCAACCACTATATAAATTCAAATTCTTTTTTAAATGTGACAATTTACCGGAAAGGTATTAACTCAAGTGAGAGGAATTTGAATGTTTAAATCTTCATTCGAACAGTTTTTCCAATGTACACTTTTGGTGTATACACAAATGTAAGAAGTGTTAATAATGTACATATACAGAGCAACAAAGGCTCACCTCTATAGGAAAATCTGAAGCGGAACACAAAATGCAACAATTTCTGATCAACTCAAAACTACTATATATTCTGTTAATTTACAAAAAGGCTCCCATTCTCATTTCTCACTCACTTCATTTACAGATTGCCTTCCAAATCTGCTTCTGCAACTGCAAGCTTCTTCCAATCCTCCCTATACACCCGAATCTCAATTTCAGTTGCCCGTCTCACTGCATCCTCGTTTCTGTTACATCTTGCAGTAACGGCCTAACGGGCGCTGGTATGGCAGTTCAAGAACACTTTTTTTTAATCAAGAAAGTAAGTTCCAATTGTGTGGAAAACTTTATCAGTTAGATCCAGGCCATAGCCTGAATAGAACCCCGTGTTCACTAACACTGCCACCAGACAATTGTGTCATTTTGCGCCATAGTCTTCTGGCCTTTCCTGTTCTCAAAGTGCCCGATCTGGAGTGAATCCCGAGGGAGCCAGACTCACGCATTCCATATCTCATCGATGAGCTTAACAAATCCGACATTGAATGGCCTCGCTCAAGATCAAGCTCACAGTCAGTGTTGGAGAGAGGGGAGCGGGCGTGTAAAGGATCCCCTGAAGCTGTACTAAACCTTGCATCCATGTCACTCGACAACGAATCTTCTTGGTTACAGCTCTGAGACTCCTCCAAGTCTTTCGTTTCGTCACATTCGTTGCAGACTAGTTTCAAGGCCTGAACAACCTCCCCCATGAAGGGTCGGTGGGATACCTCTGGTTGCACGCACATTGAAGCGATAGCAGCCACTTTCGTGATGCTATCAACGGGGAAATCAGGGCCCAAAGACGGGTCTACAATGAATTCTAGCCCTTCCTTAGTCGTGAGGAATGGACGTGCCCAAGAAACTAAATTCTCTTGACCAGGTGGGAGTGACATGTCCACTGGCTTTCTTCCAGTTAGGAGCTCGAGAAGGACAACACCATAGCTGTATACATCGCTCTTCACTAAAAGATGTCCCGTCATTGCATACTCGGGGGCTACATACCTGCAAGATTGGTAACGCTAAGACAAGAAGTTTATACATATTTGAAAGAGTAGATTATCTGCACAAATGTGTCATACCCGAAGGTTCCCATGACACGAGTCGAAATGTGCCTGTTTTCTTCATCAAATGCAGTTCGAGCCAGACCAAAATCCGATACTTTTGGAGTAAAATCATCTTCTAGTAGGATGTTGCTAGACTTGAAGTCCCGGTGTATGACCCGAGGGCTGGAATCTTCATGCAAATATGCCAACCCTCGAGCAGCACCGAGTGCTATCTTCACCCGAGCATTCCAATCGAGTGGACCATTTTCTTTATCAACTCCTGAGAGAAAACCAAAAAATCGAAGCCATTTACAACCCTAAAGTATTAACCGCACACAATGTCTAAAGATGCTACAATATAATACCATGAAGGTGAGATTCGACACTGCCATTTGGAATGAGTTCATAAACTAAGCAGCGGGAACGCTCCTCTAGACAGATTCCTATCAACTTAACCAAGTTTCTATGATGCAGGCGGCTAAGCATCTCAACTTCAGCCAAGAACTCCCGACCACCTTGATGGTCATCCCTCTTAAGAATTTTCACAGCAACTTCGGTCCCATCACCAACCACACCACTGTAAACACGCCCAAAGCCACCTTCCCCAAGGATTCTCGACTCATTGAAGTTATCAGTTGCTCTCTCTATATCAGTCGAACTAAACGTTTTTGCTGAACCAGTATAAGCCGCAAAGCTAGAACTAAAGGATAAGGAAGGAGAGTTGGGGACACTGCCAATAATAGAGGCTGCAATCCCAAAAGAACATGTTAAAGTTAAAGTTATTCCAACATAAAACAATACCATGAGTCTTAGCAATGCAAAAAACTGAGATGATAAATGTCACATAAAAAGTGACCAAAAAGAAACCAAAGAAGAAGACATAATAACATAATACCTGGCGATTTTGCAAGGGAAGGCATTGTAGTTGGCGGGGTAGGCTCTAATTGGCACGCCCTGTCTCTATGTTTGAACAGTAGCACCCATCCAATGGCACAGCACAATATAACTGCAACCGAGGCTGACAACACTACCACCGCAACAACACTTCGATTAGGCCCATCTTTGTGTTTTTCTCGAGTCACGTCAACTCCAAGAGGGTGTATAGTCCTCCCATTATCTCCAGAGTAAGGGTCACTACCAATAATGCCACCACGTGACGTTGCAGAAGGTGGAGAAGGAGGAAGACCTATGCACGTAAGAGTTTCTAAGTAAGAATGTTGGTTCTAATGAACTCGAGGATAATAAGGATCAAAGTTATGCAAATACCTGGATACTGAACATATAATACATCATAATCACCAAAATATGAAGATTTTATAACCACATCTTTATGCCAGAATCTCCGAAACGTCAAGAAAGCTGTGGTATTATCAAAGCGGCCTCCAAGGGGTACCAAATCAATAAGGACAATTGTCTTTTCTGGATACTGACTGCCTGCATTTGCCCCCATGATGCGAACTTGACTGGTATCCATAAATACTCCAGCAGCAATTTCATTAGCCAACTCCGAAACTAAAGGGAAGAAAGTGTACAGTGCTACACTAAGCCTTAGCCCAATTCGCATCGGCAGGACACAATTACAAGGAGATTTAGGAGGTGGACTAGCCAATGGTTCCATGCATTTTAATGATGAACAATCTACAAAATCAAAATGTGCTTTGAAAATTGGTAGTGAACCATAAAATAATTGAAAATCACAGAAGTGGATATATAAATACCTTGATTAGGAGGTGGGGGCGGTAGGGCATGGAATGGTGGTGGGAGCAGCTTCTTTGGATTCCTTGCTGGAGACCCGGCAGGGGAAATTTTATTGGAAGGGAAAGGCACTTGCAATTGCAAAGATGATAGAAAGATAAGCATCAACACTCAACTAAGAAATAAATGAAAAGTTAATTTGAATAAAGGCTATCCTTTCACACAGGACAAACGAAACGAAAAAGATTTAAATATCCTACCTTTAGCTTGTTCAGGTGGAGAAGTTGGTGAAGCAAATGGCGAAAGATTTGGGGAGACCGATGAGCCTATGAAGCAGTAACAGTTAACAAAAGGGAAAAAAAAAAAAAAAAAAAAAAAAAGGAACAAAAAAAGGAGGTTATTGAGTACAACAGGAATGGAAATAATACCAGAACTTAATGGTGGTTGAGCACGCTGTCTATGGGTAGACTTTGGATCTGATTTTGAGTGAAACGAAGGCACTGGAGCAAATAAAGGACCTAGAAAGATCATCAATAAAATGCCGGTTAGTTTGATGTATCATTGAACATACTAAAGAAACCTCTTTCATATAATATAAGAACCTTGTGTAGTTGAAGCAGGAGGAATTGCATGTGATAATGCGGATGGTGGGTATGAGGGAGCGTGAGAGCCTTTCTTAGGAGGAAAGTTGGGAGAATGACGAGGAGAAGCAGCATTACTAGAGTGCCTCGTGGTTTTGTGTGTAGACGGAGCTAGGACAGGGTTAAAAATACTCCAGTCAATAACATTGGTGAATATAGTTTATCACCATTCATGAATATATATATATATATATATATATATATGCACACGTATGTGACTCACCTTGTGCTGGGGATGTATGTACACTGAAATCATGATCGGTCATTCTGTTAGGAGCTGCAGCTACAGGCGTGGCTACTCTTTCCCTGTTGATGCTCGGTAGAGGAGTTGATACAGGAGATATGTCATGCTTAACTGCATAACAATAGGCACAGTTTGACATTGACATATACGTATCAATATGAGAAACATTAACGGTAAACACTAGGCATACCAGCTGGAGTAGATGGTGATACTGCAGGATTTGCTGAGTGATTAGATGGCGTATTTTTTGGATTTCTGTGTTGTTCAGTAGCACTTGGGACTGCAACATAAACAAGAGAACATCAAAAAGCTTTAGGAACTATTCCTCTTAGAAATATGATTTAAATCTTTCAATTACCTGGAGAAATTGGCAAAGGGAGGGGAGTGTCTGCTGGTCCATTCTCATGAGGACTTGGTGGTCTGGACCCTACCACAACTGGTTGCATAGCAGGTGGATTTTGTGGAGGTTTCCTTAAAGGTGCCCCATCAGGTACTGCAGCTCATAAAAAAAACCATTTCAACTGGCTTCCTAGTTCAATTTTGTGGCGATTTTATTAAGGTGACTCAACTGGTACTGCAGCTTGTAACAAAAACCAATTACCTGGAGCAATTGACACGGGAAGGGGGATGTTTCGATGAGGACTTGGTGGCACGGATCCTGTCACAACTGGTTGCCTAGTTGGTGGATTTTGTGGTAATTCCCTTAAAGGCGGCTCAGCAGTTGCTGGAAGTCATAACAAATACAAAATCAATCTGGTGTATTTCGTAAGGTTTCCTTAAAGGTGACATCTTCTCGATGCAACTAATAACAAAACCCACTCACCTGGAGAAATTGGCACATTCTCATGAGGAGTTGGTGGTGAGGATCCTGGCACTACCGGTTGCCTAATTGGTGGAATTTCTGGAGATTTCTTTAAAGGTGGCTCAACTGGTGCTGCACCTCATAACAAAATGCCATTTCAACTGGTTTAGCTGTTCTGTTGAGTAAAATTTTCAACAGGTAGCACAACTCATAAATATGAATTACCGGGAGGGAGTGGCATAGGAAGTGCAGTGTCTGGTGGCCCGTTTTGATGAGGTCTTGGTGGCATGGATCCTGTCACAACTGGTTGCATAGTTGGTGGATTTTCTGGCAACTTCCTTAGAGGTGGCTCAAACGGTGCTGCAACTCATACAATAACCAAATTCATTAGTTGGGTAAAGTTCATTTTGTTGTCACTTCCTTAAAGCCGGTTCAACTGGTAGTACAACTCATAAACGAACCAATTACCTGGAGCAATTGGTATGGGGAGAGGGGTTGGTGGCACAGATCCTGTTACAACCGGTTGCATGGCTGGTGGATTTGGTGGCGATTTCCTTAAAGGTGATTCATCTTTTACTGCAACTCAAATGATAACCAATTCAAAAAGATGTCTATTAATGTCCCAGAAAAACCCCGTTTTTAGTTCATACCTGGAGATTCCGGTGCCAAGACAGGAGGTTCAACGCTTGAAGGCTTACTCTGAGGACCACTAAGCGGTGAGATTTGAACATGACCTTCATTTATTGGAGGAGGAGATGAGATAGTGTCTTGACGAATCATTGGTAGAGGACTCAAATCATTTGATGGGACTATTGTAGGAGCATTTGGTAGCACAGTTGGAGTAGGTGCAGTGTTTGCAGAAGCTGTTCCATTCGAGATAGGAGGAATTGCAGATGAAGCGGGGGATAAACTGTAACCTGAATAGAGTTCAGGAAAGCAAACAGATAAACCCCACTATACATTCAACTTTAATTTCATGAATAAACCATTCCATTGAATCGCAGATGTTTAAGGTCGATAACATTTGAAGAAATTTCTGAATTTATTTGACGAATAACTAGATCCAGGGCAAGTGAGAGTGCTACTTATCCAAAATTATCTTACTGTAATTGCCAAATAAAAGAACTTCTTGAAGAAAAGTATTCAAACAATAAGATCCAATCAAGAAGGAATACCAGTTCTCCAGTAATACTACACGAAATGCATTACTTAGATGAAACCTAAAACATTAATCCTACTTACAAATAGTGGACAACAAAATATTAAAACCAAAATGTTACAGCCTTTGATGTGTCAATGGAGAGGATTGGTTCTACATGGGCAACACAAATGCCAATTCAGAAAGATGAACACCAAAACATCTCTTATCCAAATGAACAGTGTTAAATCAGATAAAAATTACTCCATCCTACCATGAATGAAACTTCATCAAATACCCAGATTGCCAGATTAATTTCTGAACTCAAAAACTAATCAGAGTACTAGATATTATCAAGAACAGCAATGAAAATCAGTACAAGAAAAGGAAATACCTGAAGAAGGCAGAAGCAGCCAAGAACAAGCAATGGCACAGATTTTGAGCAACAAGGAAAGCAGTTGCAGCATCCCCATACCCATCCCATACGAACCCAATCCACTAAATCCACCTCAAATCATACTAATGACAAGAATCAAACCAGAGAATTTTTTTTTGAAAGAAATCCCAAATTCAATTATTTCCTGAATAACTTAATGAAAAGCTGATTACTTTGAAGCAATCAAGAAAAGCAGAGGAGAGGTGAGATTAAAGGTGATAAATATTGAGAGGCAAGCAATGAAGAGAGTTGCTAGGAAATCCCAAACCCAACAAGAGGGTTTGGTGACATTAGATGAATCAAAGCAAAGCAAACAGTGGGTTCTGCAACAGTGAACCTGAAAACCAAGACAGCAAGATGTGTTTTTTGCAGACCAAATTTTTGGTTTTTTCACAGATTGGCATATTACAGAGAGCAGGCGTTTCTACTGGCATGTGGGCAATTAAAGATTTCTCTCTCCCTCTCTCTCTCTCTCTCTCTCTCTATCTATTAAAAAAACTGATACAGCTTAGCTAACCACTACTGCTAAGTACAAGACAACAAACGAGGCTTTAAGCTGCGGTCTAAGTAACAGCCACCTTTTAACTGAAAGAAATAGAACGGGGACGGGACCCGCATAACTAGTTCACTTGATTTCTGCGTGGTAGATTATATGTAATGACGTAAAATCGAGTTTTATTAATCTCAATATGAGAATTTGACTCAATAGTTCAGTAAACAGGAATAAATATCCATGTCCATAAAGAATTTGTTCACTTTAAACATAATACTTTACATTATTGTTGTCGAAATTCAGACATTGATCTATTCTCTCAAATATTGTCAATTAATTGAATCTTTAAGACAAGAAATTACGTTTTTTTGTGGACAAGAAATTGAGCTGTGAGTCTGTGACTGACATTCTTAATATAATATGTTATATGCATTAATTTAATAGTTAATATTCGTTGTCTGTGGTTAATACAGTCTTGAATGGAGAATATAAGGAAATCGTCCCAATAAAGATCTGATTTTTTAATTTTTCTAATCGTCACAAAAAGAATAACTGAGTTGTAAAATCGCGTGCATGTATCTTATTCCAGATTTATATGGTTGATAGGCTGAGAGAATAACAAAATCTTAAATTTTGTATGTGTATGTAATGGATTTTCTTTTGAAAGGGTATTTAATGGATATTTATAAAGAGAATAATCAAATGTGGACTATTAATTTAATTTGTTATATTTTTTTATTATTATGTTGTTAGGTATTTTGTACCATAATTTTTAGATGCCATTTGATAATTATATTAGTTTTTAATTAATTTAAAGTTTAAGTTTTTGAGAATTCAATTATAATTTTTTTTTATTTTTAATTCTACAAATTTTATAGTGACAATTCACTTTTTTTTTTTTTTTTTTTTTAACATTATCTTTGTTCCTAGTATTGTTGTGGCATGACCATTTTTTATCATTTATCAACAAAATCGTTTAAATTTCGTAAAATACAATGGCATTTGTCTTAATTATGATTTAAATATATATATATATATATATATATATATATATATATATATAGTGGGTCAACCTACTTTGTATAAATTTTTTTTTAAAATGTTCTTGTATTTAACGACATTTCAACAATTTTGTTGACGGATGACTAAAAATGATTATGCCACAATAATACTATGACCAAAATGGTATGTTCTGAAAATAATGACGACAAGTGAATTGCCACCTATAAATCTATGACTAAAAATGAAATTAACTCAACAGTATAGCATGGTAAAAACTCTTGTTTTAAAAAAAAAAATAATGCAAAATTTATGAATTTGTTTTAATGGTGATGCTTTTTGGGTGAATATGGTGAAATGGGAATAAAAATCTTATTGCATGATATATTATATGTTTAACATGCAATGTATGATGCATCTAGTCTAGACTTGACTAAGAGAGTGGTGGAGAATTGGAGATTCCCCAACAAATTTATCTAATCTATCCACAAAACCTATAAGTTAAATTCCAAATTTGTGAAAAACTAAATAAAGATGAACAGATACTACAATGTAATAGAGCCAGTAACTTTCAAAAAAAAAAAAAAAAAACAAAATAAAGACTATACTGCACATCCCTATATTTTATTACTACTAATAATTAAGCAACTATTTTTTGACATTTCAATTTCATATTTAAGTAGTTACGACATGTTTCTGATGTGGCATTTTGTCATAACAAATAGTAATTATTCGTGATTGAAAATTGTATGGGTATTTAGTATTTCTTAAAAAGTTAATGGAAAAAGAACCAACTATTTAAGTTGTCATGCCTTTTGAGGATGAAAAAAATGAGATTAAAATAGTATCGTTTAATAAAATGCATAGAGATAGTTGTACTTTTCGTCATTAAATTATAGATTAAGTGTAAGTTTAGTCTATAGTTATTATTAGTTGCAATTTTGATCCTTAATTAGCCACAAATATGCTATTATGGTCATTCCAATTATCAAAATATCCACTTATAAAAGTTACAATTTTGATACTTAATATATTTATGAAAGATATATAATAATATCAGTAATTAAATGTCAAAATTGCATCTCACATATACTATGTTACAAGATTTTAAACAACATCATTCTGAAAGGGATGGGCGCGTGGATGAGAGTATGATTATTGAACTAAAAGATTGTGAGTTTGATTTTTGTCAACACTCTTAGTCAAATTTATTATATGTAATTTACATATTATCAGATAGTAATTGTTAGTTTCTTTTTGTAAGAAAAAAAAAAAGGAAAAAAGAGAGAGATATTCGTCAGTTTTTATTGGGATTGCTTAATACAGAGAGTAGTGTTCTCTTCCTGGTTTTAAGTAGTTGATGTTTGGAAAATGGGTGTGAGACTGAGGTGGGGAATGGCATTGGATGCCTCACCATTTCTCTACTTTTTTCACAATCAATTAATTTAAGAAGCTAAGGGACCATACTATAAACTACACCTATCTATATAGGTTAAACAAGTTTTAAGCCCCTACCTAACAAGTTTTTATTTTAATTTAATTGAAGATGTTTTTTTTGACAGTGGGCTATGGTATTGTGCCTTACTAGTAAAGTCAAATATATACTCTATTCTATTTCGTCTGTCATATTTACTATTTATTGGTTAAACTTACTCTTTCTTCATTGGTTGTTTTCTTTAATTATTTTTATTTATTTGTAAATTTGATTTTTTTTTTGTTTAACTGTACTTTTAATGTAGTTTTTGAATATATAAATTTTGTATACCAATACTAAACATTTTTTGAGTACATATATCAATACTGAACATAATATTATGAAAAATTGAATTAAAATAACTTTAATCAAACCTTGTTAACCGAATCAGACAAACAAAATAGAACAGGTTTATATACAAATGTTTCTTATGTTATTAATACAAGACAATTTTATAAATGGATTCAATTACCATATTTTAATCTAAATGGATCTAAAATTATGCAAAACTAAATATATATAGGAAAGTGCATGAACACTCGGGAAATAATAAATAATAAATTTTTTTAATGTCATTGTCTCTGATATTTCTTACTAAAAATGGAAAGCACAAAGATATTTTACTTATATCAAATAGTTTTTTTAAAAAGAAGAAGAAGAAGAAGATGCAATTTATTACAAAAGTACCACATATTTCCTGTTTAGATATGGCATCATAAGGGTAGCGGCACCAATTTCTTTACTTATATATATTATTTACTATGTCTAAAAAGCATTGTGTCTATTATTAATTTATTATACATATAAAATGATAGTAGTTTCTTCTTCTTTTTTTTTTTTTTTTTTTTTTTTTAATTTTTTATATAACATATTATATTTTACTACTATAAAATTAGTCTGAATTCGATTTGAGTCAGACAATAATTTACTTACCAACTGTTATAAGTTATTGAGTTGATAATAACAATTCTTTTAATAACTATATCATAATATTTACAAAATTATTACTATTTATTTTTATTTATAGTAATATATATACTTGAACCCCGAGGTCTAAACATGGTTATCTTAAAAGTTAAAACTAACGAGATAACGTTTTATCACTCTTAAAATTTTATTTGACACGAATAAAATTAGACACGTTGTGTGGAGTCTTAGTGTACTCAAACAAATCGTAGAATTGTAAATTTTTCTTATGAGTAAATATTACACATTTCAGTGAGACTCTCATGAGATTTACACTATCTTAATTAAATGAAATTTGGCGCTAGTAATTTTTGTTTCAACAAAAGAGCCCATGAAAATAAATTGGAAGGAAGACGGAAGTGCATGGGGTAGTTTTAAAAGGGGGCTAGTGAAGAATGGGCAAGTGACCCATTTTCAAACATGCAATGTGGTCAACTAATACATTCCATTCTATGTCGATTAATTTTATTTTAGATTGTACCTTAGAGTTCCAGAAAATTCAATTCAATGCCAACTAGTCCAGTTTGTAGTTGGTTTGGACCGTGACGAAAATGACCTAATATAACTCTCTAGTTTGCAAATTAATTAGCATTGAAGCAAGGGCATTATCATCTTCTTCTTTTTTTTTTCTTTTTTTTTTCATATTTAATGCCACTCAATTATGTTTAATTTGTGGCCAAAATGAATACTTCTCTTACAATGGATGAAAATATTTTTCAAAAGGACAAAGGGGAGGGGAGGGGGGTGTGTGTACGTTCCATCCTTGTTAGGAAGTTAATTGGGCAAGTAAAAAATGAAAGTAAAAAATAAATTCAGGGCGGGGATGAGGGTTATATATACTCTATGACTCACCCTGTTGTCAAGTCTAATTTAAGCTATATTTATATTAATTCTATAGTTTTTCTTTTCCACATTTTTTATTCTCCATTTTATGTTTTCAAATTCAAAAAATAATGTACGAGTAAATATATTGTCTGTTTTTTATTTTCTAGTCAGTAAATACACCTCTTGAAAATGATTATTTATTAAAATTTATAAATAAAAATATTTGTATGTATTTGATACAAATACTTATAATGATATATATGAGTATAGGTCCATAATCAGGTGAGAATTTGTGAACAAATCCAAATCATTGATCTAGTAGATCTAACTGTTTGAAAATAAACAAAAGTTTATAATATTTATGAAAATCACCCGTTCATTTTAAAATTTTATAATATTTATGAAAATGACCCAGGTCATTTTTAACTTGATTTCTCATACTTTAGATTTTGCATATTAATGGTTTGGATATTTATCCACAAATTCTAGCCCGGGGAGTATAATCACTAATATAACACACTTTGCATGGTCCCAGAAACGATAAATAATGCAGGATAAGGCCAATTATATGAAAGTAAAATGGATATTTTCCAGCAGCAAAAGAACATGCTTAGCTTTATAAAAACTTTTAATCTTTAATGAAGTGCTTAAAGTGATATTGACTTTGATAAATCCCTGAAAAATTGTGGGTCTTAAGCATAATTACCAAGGAAAAAGTTGCATAGGATTACCCAAAACGTAAGCATGAAAAAGTATATA